AAATTTCTGCTCTCTGGCTCCTTTCTTCAGGACAATGTGGTGACGAACTGTGTATCTTCCACGTTGTGTTGCACTCGTACTCTGCAAACCAATGTAATTTGGTGATGAGGCAAGCACAATATCTTCCAGGGTAACTCCATTTAATCTCAGGGTTTCATACTTTCCAACACGCTTACCAGAGCTGGTTTCTTAACTGAGTAATAGCAGTGTCTACTCTCCACGCAAAGCTTCAGGTTCTGTTGTCCATGGCAATGTTGCTTTAAGCAGTACTGACTCCCACATGCTCCTGCTCTTGGGCCAGCAAAACACTTCTTAGAGTAGCCTGAGGCTAACGTGAATCCTTCAGCTGAGGAGTTGTCAAGACATGTCTCCACCAGGGAGAAGATACGTGGAATGAACTTTTCAAAGCAGGTCAGAGTGAGAAATGTGAGGAAGCAACAAAAAAGAAGATTCTGAATCCTTTTCTGATGTAGAAGTCCTCCTCCTCACAGCTGAAGCTGGCCAGAAGATATCTGCTTCCCGGCATATCTGGTTAAAAAAATAAAATCTAAGTATGAAGTCTGTTTGAGTATATATCTAATACATGTCCTAATGAGATTCTGGTTTATTACTTGCCTTAACTTTACCAAACTCTTTGCTAACAATAACAATAAAAAGTAATAATAACCATGGTAATAACCACATTTTTTAGTCTTAGGCACCAATCTGTAACTTACAAATATGGGTAATAACATCTCAATTTCAAGTGTTTATTGAATTTCATAAATTCCATTTCAGAGCTACATGAATCCCCCAGTTTGTCTTTCTGGCAATAATCTAAAGAAAGATCCTATGGCAGATTTTTTGAAAGGGTGTTTAGGGTATTTTTTCTTGAAGCTTTGATTTAATGAGATTCAGAAGCATTAAAGTTATGCAAAAATTAAATATTGTATTGAAGAAGGATGGACCTAAATAGGTGTTAAAAAGCCGTCTTGAATCAGCACCCAAGGCCCATAGAAGGGAAGGGAAATTGTGCATCCTCTCCTCCAGCTCCCCATGTCTTTGAGAAGCAGAGCAGAGCAGGTCAGGTCAGGCTAGGCCAGGCAGAGGGACCGGCACCCTTGTTCTGTGATATAATGAGATAATTTATTAATAGCCCAAGAAACAGAGGAACCCCATGCCATAGAGAGGGCCAAGAAGCCTAACAGCTCCTGCCAAATCTGATCAACAGGAGAAAAGTTACCTCCCAATCCCAAGCTGGACCATGGGTTTGGCCATGGGTTTACCCATGTGTATCTGACCAGGGCACACCAACTGAGCTCCTCAAACACAAGGATGCCTGTATCCTCCATCCATCAGTGTCTACATGACCTGTCTCCAGTGCTGCACACTGGGATGTGTCTGGAGGACCCGATTCACTCGACTCCCACAGATGCTCTGGGATCTCTCTGAACTAGAAGTTTTGAAAAGTATAGCTGGTAGAAGGATGGGATCCACTAACTTCATCTTTCTACGCAGGTACTGATAGCAGACTTAAATCTAGCATATGTGCAAAAGCCTTTTGCATTTTTTGGAGCCAAAACAGAATCAAAACAGACTTTTGTGTCCTCAGGAGAATAAAAACCAAGTGAACAAACAGTATAAGAAGCAAACAGAAAGCTAACTTGTAGATGACTTGCTTGATTAGCCATTTTCAATAGCTGCAACACATGTGATAATCCAAGAAGGCACTGGATCGTGTGGAGCAGTCAGCGGGAAGTGCTGAGGAGCTGATACACCACATGGACGGCACACGCTTGTGCACCACAGGGCACAGAAAAAATTGCTTTCCCCAGTCATAGGTGTTGTAACCTGGACTTTGTTGACAGCCAAAAATCTAAGATGGTGTAGGGTGACTCAGAAGCTCCTCAAAGCAGAGTGTTGGGACCCAAAAAGGGCTCGCAGACCAATGAAGCATAGGTGCGTTTTTGTTGGACCATCAAAACTCTTTCCTGTTTAAACTGGTTTTTCTTTTTTTTTTTTTTTTGTGGAACCCTGAATTAGGAGGCAGAAGCAGTGTAAATTTATTGTAAATGAAAAGTAATCCAGTCTTCTTTCAGCCTCTCCTGGGTACTAACACTTCAGCTGCCCTAAGATTCAGACTCACAAATTTGATTTCCTACCTCCAGGGCATTAGAGGAAGGCAACAAGGTGAGACTGATGGACTCAAATGTCTTTTATAAATCAAGCAACTTTTGAAGCAGAGACCCAGAAGTAAAACAAAATGTACTTTTGGTTCAGGGTTTTGCTCTATACTAGTTTTTTTTCTTTTCATTGTGGTCCCCCGTTTCCCCACCCAGACAAAATGCAGCTACGACAACATGGAAATCCCCTGAGCAGCACAGCTCTGATAATAAGATTGTTCAGGTTCAACCAAAATATTATGTCTGAAAAGTCTTTTTCTTTTAGTTTGCTCCAGCTGAAACAGGAAAAAAGAAAAAAAAAAGATCAAAGTGATAGCCCACTCAATTATAAACAAGACAAATTTAAAGTGAGAAGGTGTCATTTCCAGATAGCGATCAGTTTGCACAGGAGAGCCCTCCTTTATTGATATTTCTGGCTGAAAATGAGGTAGAAATTAGCCTGAGGGTTTCTAGGATAATATGATACTGAATATTATTAAGCCAGGTGCTGAAATCCTTAAATAAACTTTTCTAAAGCAAGCTGGGGTAGGCCTTAGGGGTGTGAAGTCACCGGGACCCAATCTCATTGATTCAAGTTTGGCTTCAATGAGATTGGGTCAATTATAGGAAACTCAGGAGGGAGAGATGAGGACTAACTACTCCTAAAGTTCCACCAGCTGACTCAGATCTCTGAAAGAGGATATTTCTTGAAGGGATATCATGTGAATAGGGCAGTGACCCAAATAATTCTGTAAGCGAAGTCAAGCTCTTGAGCGAGGGTCAGTCAGGCCATGGCCCTGCAACCATGTCCAGCCATGGCTCCTTGGCCCTGCAACCATGTCCAGCTCCTGCTCTCCTTTGTATGGGTGGTGTCTGTGGCCTAGCAGGTCCTTCTCCTGTTTATGGGTGGGAGGTATCATAGAGGTCTGCCAAGCAGAGATCTATCCTCTGCCTCACCTTGGGCTCTTTTTGAATTCATCGGGGAGAAATGAATGTATTTAGGGGTTTAGATTTCATCTTTTGAATGTCAATGTTAGGATGAGATGAATCATGCTCTCTGCTGGCTAGTGGGAGCGAAGCATGAAAAGCTCTGACATAGGAGTATACATCATAAATACCTACATGTTGACCAATGAATCCAAACCCATTTTTCTGTATCTACCTAGGTTTAGTGCACCTTCAGGGAATGCTTTGGCGGGGAGCCTCAGGGCCCTACCACAAGGAGGGACTTGACACAGGTGTGGGGGATGTCCATCTTCCGGGCAACCTTGCTGAGCTCTCATGGAAAGGGGCCCATTTCTTCTCATTCAAACAGGGCAGGGGAGACCAGAAACAGCCCCTTGGCTACTCACTGCCCCCTGCTTAGGGCAGCAAGTGGCACTGGAGGACAGGCCCTGATGTCGTGGCAAGAAGGACACTTTTCTAGACACGAGGGCTGAGCTGTCATCATTTTGATGAGTGGTTTAAATTATTTCCTTGCAAACGAAAAAGCTGCTGTGACTTCCATATTGAGTATCCTTATAATAGCGTCCACATTTTTCTGTTTGCTTTGGCATTGTTACCAACTTTGCCCTCGGTTTTCTTTATGCCTCTGACAAAAAGCTTTTTTTGGTGCAGGCAGGGCCGTGCCAGAGCTTGCTCTTCTCTTTCAGGTCTTCAGCTCACTTATAGTTAGCCACATCAGTCAGCCGTGTACGTAACACTGCATTACGCTCTAGTGTGCGTTGGTGTATACAGCCACAGAAAGTGTGCGAAGGAAATATTTAACACCTCTTTACCTTCCACTTTCTGCCTCTGCTTTGTCCAAAGCCTGAAAAAAATGTGAGATGTACCACTTTGTTCTCAGGAGCTAGGTTTTGCAGGATTAGTCTTTTAAATCACAGCTTCTCTGGGTCAGCATTGTCTTATGTGAGAATTCTATGACTTCATAGAATCACAGAATGGTTTGGGTTGGAAGAGACCTTTGAAGATCATCTAGTCCAACCCCTCTGCCATGGGCAGGGACATCTTTCACTAGGTCAGGTTGCTCAAAGCCCCGTCCAGCCTGTCCTTGAACACTTCCAGTGATGGGGCACCCACAATTTCTCTGGCCAACCTGTTCCAGTGTCTCACCACCCTCATCGTAAAAAATTTCTTCTCTATGTCCAATCTAAATCTATCCTCTTCTAGTTTAAAACTGTTGCCTCTTGTCCTGTCACTACAGGCCCTGGTAAAACATCTCTTTCCATCTTTCTTATAAATGCCCTTCAGATATTGAAAGAACACAGTAAGTTGTCCCCGCAGCCTTCTCTTCTCCAGGCTGAACAACCCCAACTCTCTCAGCCTGTCCTCACAGGAGAGGTGTCCAATCCCCCTGATCATTTTTGTGGCCCTCCTCTGGACCCGCTCCAACAGGTCCATGTCTTTCCTGTGCTGAGGACTCCAGAGCTGGGCACTGTACTCCAGGTGGGGTCTCATAAGAGTGGAGTAGAGGGGCAGAACCACCTCCCTTGACCTGCTGGCCACGCTTCTTTTGATGCCAACACCTAAAGAATAAATAACAGCAATCACACGTAGTGTTTCATAGCTGGAAGATATTTCTCCCTTGGACCTGTGTGCCTCCATTGAGAGGAAAGTGGATGAGAGGACCAAACCATGCTCTCAGGGAAATCAACAGCAAAAATCCAACTAGCCAAGCCAGGAGCATGGTCCATGAAACGTGCTCCTGACCCACTGGACTTGACCAGATTTGGCCCAATGAATCAGTGGGCCTGATGCAGAAGGTCCTTAGTTTTGAAGTGGGAAGCATGTTTCAAAGTAAAAGCTCTACAAATATCTTCACGCTGGCTTCCTGCTCTCTGCCACTAGTCAACCTCGTCGGCATGTTTACATTTCCCCTTGCCTGCGGTCTCTTTATCAGGCAATGGGTTTGTTCTGCGTCTAGTATAAAGTAAGTGAGCGCAGGTTTCGCACACACATGTACTGCATACATGCAGCGGGCTCAGGATGACACAGACGAGTACAGTATTGAGCATTTTCATCTTGTTTCTCCACACCAGTTTTGGGGAAAGTGGTTGCACCTCAGCAGATGGTGATGGTGAGTCATTTCATCTTCATCTTTCCACTCATGTATGATCTTGAAAAATCTGAGTTAAGAGCTCCAAAATATAACTGCTGGGTTAAATGTGTTAGTGTTTTAGCCTCCAGTCTCTTTCGTTTAGTGCCAGTCCCTGAGGTGGATGTGGAGGTGGAGGATACCTATTTAATTTAATTCCTGAGTCTGCTGTCCTTGTAACTTCCAAAGTCATATGAAATGAGGGAGACCATAGCTGTGTGCAGAGGACATGCAAGATCAGACCTGTTAATCGTCTCTCTTTGTATCTAGTGTTCATGTGAGGAGTTATGCCTGGGAGCGGGGAACCGCTTCGCTCTTCTGCAGCCCATGGTCACTCTGAGCTGCCATCAGACAGGGGTGAGGTTCTGGCTTCTCTTGCTCCTGGCAGTTTCCTCCAAAGAAAATATTTCAATGATGGGCCTCAAACTTGGCCCAAATTCTTCCACTTCAAAAGCCAAACTTTTTCTCTTTTTCTTTAAGCAATTGCATCAGGTATATCTGGGGGATAGTCCCAGTCTCCCTCGTAGTATGGCTGAAGCAGCAACTCAACCAGAGGGTTCTCACAGCCCATCACTAAGAGCATTCATCCTTACTCAACAAATAATTACAAATTAATTCAACAGTTTAAAATCAGGCTTATTTCAGATTTCATTATCTCATCTAGAGAAGTAAAAATTATTTAGCAGCATCAAAATCAAAAATGAAAACATAAAGAGCAGCAAAAACCCCACTGTTTCAGTCTGCTATTCCTTTTCTCAAAAGGGAGCTGAAAATTTGGATTTTCAGATTTAGTCCCAGATCTGGGACTAAACTCTTACTTGTCTGATACTGAACAAACAGCAGTGAGAGTCTGTTGCACTGTGCCTGCAGGACATAAGCAGTCACTCAGTTACTGGTAGTTTTAGGGCTCCGATGTTTGGGAGCAAAAGAGTTTTTGGTTTTTAGGAAGGTAATGGCTGTGTTCCTATGCTATCTCACAGATAGGGAATCTCATTTTCCCCAGTGTTTCACATACACATATATACATACATACACACAGAGATAGGATATGCATGATAAGTTTTTTAGTTAGAAGAAAACAGGGAGTGGCTCAGAACTGCATCTGACAATCCTGGGTTTTTTATTTGACTTCTATTTATACAATTTGCAGCTGTTTAGAGCCAGCTTTGGCAAGCAGCTACAGTGGTGAATGGTCAATGGCAATGATTTATCGCCAGTGTCACTGAGATCTCAGGGCTTTCCAAAAGCAGATATGACCAGACCTTTCCTTGTTTTGTCACTCATTTCCAGTAAACCATAATTTGCTTAGAATTAAAGACAAACGGATTCAAAAAATCCCCACTGAGCAATTAGCAGCTTTTATGATTTCTTTTATGAGTCTTGTGGGTTTGGCCAACAAATTAAACAATCCGGGGTAAAATCACCCGTGATGGATGTTTGGCTCTCACTCTTCGCCTTTGCGACTCGCCCTGCGTCCTGGCAAAGTGCCGCCAGCCGACACAGGCATGAGCTCACTCCTTATTATGGGCAGAGGAGGGAAAAGTTCATTGCAGCACTTGCCTTCATCTCCTCCTCTTTTCTGAGTGGCAGCCTGCCTCCCAAGCGCTGTCCCCCCGCCTGGCAGAGGTGGTGGAGATCCCCCAAGAAGGGGCAGCCGTGGAGGCACAGGAGGGTACGGGCAGGGCGAGCAGAAGGCAGCAGGCTGCGGGGTCTCACGGGCAGGACAGCTGGCTTCAGTGGTCCTCCTACCCAGATTTGTGTGGTTTGTCCAACCCACATCAAAACTGTTGTGATTAAAACGAGTTCTGCCTGAATCAGATCAACACTAGAGATTTCGCATTCTCTGTCCATGGAGACAGTCACTTCATTGACTTTGGAAATTCAGTCACTGATCCTGCAGGTGCTTAGCAGTGCCTTTGGTTTCATGTGTTGTTGTTAGTCCTGGTGGCTTCAGAGCTTAAAGCTGAAGCACGTCCATAGCCTCTGCTAACGCTCTTTTGGTAAAGGATGTGATTTGAACCATCCTGCTGGATGTTGTCCAAACCCAAGAGACAACAATTTCTGTGAAGGACCTGTGATGGCTGTAGCTACGAGAGCAGTTTTTCTCCTACTAGAATCGCCTCTTCTCAAGCCCTGCCTTGATTTCAGCAGAGCCGGGCTCAGGGCTCTGCCTGGTCTGGGCTTCTCAAGGAAAAAATTATAATATTGTAAACTTTTAATCGTGTAAAGAGTCCTTAGGAGTGTGAGTCATGTTGGAGTCATCAAAACTATTTATGTAGCAAACATATTCGTGCATTGTGGTTCTGAGGTTTAGGGAAGAAGTGTAATTGAGGCTATATGCATATTTATGTCAGACAAAAAGATTACTGTCAGCCCATGGAGGAACCATACCAGAAAAAGCATTTCAAATTGCTTACTTAAGACCATTAACAAGGTTTAATTATCATATATTCTATGGTTAGGATGTTATTTCCATGAATAAGGAACCACATAATCAGAATGTGAAAGTTCAGTGTCAAAAAGGTGAAGTCAGCTTTCTTTCCAGTGCGGCACCAAAGGCGCACTACACTGGTTAAACATTAAATGGCTGTTTGAACTGCAAGACAAAACCTTTTTCTTTCTTTTCATTTTGCAGTCAGCCTGACAGAGAATGAATTAAAATGTCTGACACTTTTTAGCAAAGCAGTAGCGGACAGCTGAAAGATTTTTTCTGATATGCCATTTATTAATATGATGATTTTTTTGTGTGTTTATGCAAAATCTGGTATATGTAGTTTGCATATACAGAGAGCACTAAGCAGTCTCTCTTTCTTACGTAAAGGAAGATCAGTCATCCTAATTCATAAGTTTTAATGTTCTCTTGAGGTAGCTATGAGTATAAACAAGCCAGTCTCCTGGTAGTTGCAAGTAAAGTCTTAGAGAGGCATAAAATGTCACATATCTGTGCATGTGAGCTTTGGGTGTATCTATCTATATAAAATACGGCGGTTTTCCATTTTAGGCAAATTCCTTTCAGCTTATTTGTTATCTCCTGAATTTTGAATATATGTATATCTATATGCACACACCTTTACCCACAAATATGTAACTTTATGTAATACATGTTTCTGTACACGTATATCTGCCCAGATGGCTCAGGGCTGCGTTGGTCAAGACTCTCACCTGCGTGAAACTGCTGCAGGGCTTGTTCTAGGGTTGCGCTGACCTCTGTGTCTCTCTCCTGAATGTGATGGTCAAATAGGCCAGCTTTGTACAGCACCTGCTTTGTCCGTGTCTGTGCTGCACAGGTTATCTCCTCAAAGCAGCAGCGCTGGTGGAAGACACCGTATTTCATTGTCCTTCAGGGAGAGCTTGGGACAGACCCCACCAGAGCTGCGGTGAGGAGGGAAGACCAGTAATTGCTTCTTAGCACCAGTTGCTCGCGGTGGCAAATGGCCAATAAATATTAGCTCGGGGGATAGATCTGCCTCTGGATTCTGGATTAGTGCAGCATCAGACGCTCCCGTCCCTTCTGCTGCCCACCACGGGTGCTGGTAGCAGCAGCCCCCTTCCTAGCCCCTGCCCGCACTGCTCTTGCGTTATTCTGTGCAATCCTGACTGACTTCTGAATTTCTTCTCTTACTCGAAACCTGACTGCAGATGCACCTCAGCTCCGAGGTCAAGAGGAAGCACTGTTGATATTAGCCCTGTGGGGTGATGCTCTTTAATTACATTTTAAAGCAATCAAAAAAACTCTCCCCTGCTTTCTCCCTGCTGTCAAACCATGACCATTTTGGGTCTTCAGATGTGCTCCCGTGCTGGACAAGGTCTCGGCCTCCCTGTACGCTGGCAGGATTGGCCAGGGATCGTAGGACATCACCGGCAGGACTATGAACCATGGTATCCAAGTAGCTGGTCACCCCTCAGTGATTTGATTCACCTGGGTGACAGCAGAGATGACCATCATTTTCTCTGGGAGGGATTTTCCATTGGAAATGTTTCCCCATTGTTTGTGAGCGTGAATCACTGATATCCCTGGAGCAGCCAAGGTCTTGTTCTCGCTGTGGCAGGTGCCCCACACAGCAAGGGCACGTCTGAGGAGTCGGTTGGAGAGGACCAAGCAAGGCATCGGGAATAGTCCCTGGACATGGGGAATGGGGTTACGTATCATCACAGCTACTCTTAACCACCGACAAAAGGAGATAGAGG